GGTGCAGGGCTGGAGTCCAGGTGAGGCTGAGGATGCCCCGGAGACAGGAGTGGTGGGAAGAGCTCGCCGGCCCTGTTTGATAAGCTGCGGTTCCCTGAATGATCCGGAGAGAACAGGCCGTGGTCTCCGGGTGTCTCCGGCAGGACTCGCTGACTCTCTCAGGTGTTTCCGGATTCTCCTTCCTACAGGTGAGCGCAACTGATGTGCGCAGTAGAATCATACTGTCCTACTAACGCTGCCCTCATTGGAGCGCCCAGAAGCAGCTTCCTGTCATGTTTGATGTCCAGATAAGTGACTCCGAGTTTCCTGCGTTTATTTTACCGAGCCTCCGCCCCGCTGCTTCCCACTTGACCTCTTCCTCTTTTTGTCTCCTCCCAGTGGAAGCTGCTGTGGATGGCTTGGCCCCTGCTGAGGGGCGAGTCTAGGTGACTCCGTCTGAACACCAGGACGGTTTCATAACTCACCACGTCTCTTTAGCTTCTGCTGCGTTTGATCGATGATGTGTTTTCTCTGAACGACGCTCAAAGTTCCCCCTGATCGCTTCACTTTATCCCACCGTCAGTGTTCACACAGCCACGCACAACGCCGACGTGACATTGCAGGATAAGTAACCACTCGGCTGTCCTTCATATGTTAAACACGCAGTTACTCACCCGTTTAAAACGCGCGCGCACACACACACACACACACACACACACACACCGAAGCTGACCCCTCATTCCTCAGCATTTCAGACTGAGTTATAAGTTCACGTTTTTAGTGTTGAGACAAATGAATGCAGACAACATTTAGATGACTCCGGGTTCTCTCGTATGTGCTGAAACTGCTCAGTTTCAAATGAAATTTTAATGGACAGATGCAGATCGTTCTCCTGAGCATGGGTCAGTTCTTGGTCGGTTCTCTTCCAGGTGAGGTGAAGGACAACAGGAGAGTTTTGAGGTTGTGGAGGTTAACGGTTTATAAAGAAGCTTGAGAGCCACCTGTGCAAGCTGGCTTTCATGTACTTTGAGGTGTTTCTGCTGTTTCAGCTGCCAAGTCTCATTTTTTATGAAGATAAATATGAAAATAAATAAACTTATGAAGCATTGTATTGTGATTCATGTAAATAGTTAACACAGATAATTGTCAACATGATTTGAAAACCTGCAAAGACACCAGTGGACTCTCTTACTGTAGCTTTGCATGACACAGCTCAGAATGATCAAGGTTTGCACAGCAGGTAGGCGGGGCTTCTACCCTCTCTCTGTGACATCATCCAGATCCAGGAGTAGGAAAACTGTGATAAACTGAGTGTTTAGAGCGGCCTGCAGTCTGAGCTCTGGGCTCACTGTCGTCACTTCCAGAGTGTATGTTTGTTCTCTCTCCCTGAGCCTGGTTCTGTTTCCAGAGATTTCTTCCCGTCGCCAGGTGCTTGCTCTTTGCTCATGCTCTTAGCCTTAGTGTACAAAATGTGTTAAGCTGATCTTTGTTATGATTTGGTGCTATATAAATAAAACTGAATTGCTGTACATCAGCTGTGGAACATCAGCTCATGTGCTTTTAATTGAGAGCAGCAGAGGCCAGCTGATCACCGCTTCACAAGCATCCGTACAGAAAGGCTCCGCCCAGATTTGAACCCAGGACCAAGGGGAAACCCCTGTGCTGCCCCACAGGTTCACGAAACAAGTCATCATGTCACTTATTTCTCAGTGAATCATTTCTTCATGCTGAACTATTGGACCTGATCCTAGGCCCCGCCCAGCAGCCAAATCCCACTTTAACCCCTGCTGGCACAGTGTGAACGGTCCCTGTGACACTGCACCAAAGAAGTCAATACAAATCATTAGTGGATGAAGCAAAAAGACGCATAACACTGGGCACGGCCATATTTAGGTTTTTTCTGCATTTTATTGAGTAAAAATTATATATGCTGTTATAGAAAGTACACAAAAATACAGCAATGTTTTCCTCTAATAAAATAAAGTGTAAAATGTTTTTTTTGGCTTTTTCATAGAAGATTTATAAAAAAAGGTAAAAGAAAAAATTTCAATGGGATTATAGGTCACACACAGGCGTCCTCACTTTTCATAAAAAAAACATCAATAACTTCTTATTAATACGAGCTACTCTGCACTAGAACATTAGAAAGCGAGCTTTATACTGTGTTAATATAAACTATCATATAAAATGTTTAAAAAAACCTTTTTTTTGTTTTCCAGCAAAAACATTCAACGAGTTCAGCAGTTATTAATGAAGCATGTAAACATGAAGCTTTTGGTTTGTGAAAGGCCGTTCAACTCAGGAAAAAGATCCTGGCGGCACTTGAAGTGACTTTTGAAGCACCACATCTGTAAAAGAGCCTGAAAGTCAAAAAGGGTCTTTACAAAGACTTGTGCATTTTTCAAAATAAGATGCAGTTCGTAGTCAAATGTGAGTTAAAACACTTGTAAACCTTTCTATCGATACAGTACACATGAACACTGAAAAAAACCAAAGTTCCAGTGATAAAATAGAAGCTGTTTATACAGAGAGCAGACGGCTACAGCATGTGCTCACAGACGTGATGGTGTAGGAGGTAATACCCGTTCACTTTGGTTTGGTGACGGCCTTAAAACAGCATTTCAAAGTGTTCCAGTTAACAAAAAACCAACAAGTGTTTCAGGACTGCTACCCATAGATGGCGCTGTGTGGGGGCCACGCTGAAACACGCTTCACCTGCGTCGCAGTGGCGTGGAACTTCTTTTGGGAAATCGACAATCTAGAATAAAGTAGTCACGAGAGTTCACATGAAACGTCCTTATCAGAAGGGCAGCAACAGAGAGCGCTAAGGACTCTAAAACACACGTTCTCCACACAGACCAGGAAACAGCACCGCGAGACGGTTTCTCGTTACGTTTTCTGGAAACATCGTCGATGAACAGCAGTTGTGACCTTTCACAGCCGAGGCGTGGTCACCAGTGTTTCTCCCTCTCGGTGGAATAGGAAGAGCTGTGAGGCCGCACACTAACGCTCAGAGACTCGCAGCCTTTCCTGGATTCTAATAAAATGGCATCAAAACATCTACAGTAGCACAAACGTCATGACTGCATTCATCAGCTGTCTGCAGACATTAACAGAAGATGAGCCCCTCCCTGCCTTTCAGTTTTTGTCTTTCTGCATCAGCTTGTTTCAAGTATCCAAAGAGATACTGAAGAGATCGCCGTGACAACATCCTGAGCGCGCCCACATCACGCTCGCTACAAACTCAAAATAAAACGCATTTCTTTATACACCTGTTCAACCTTTGACCTAAACGCTTGTTTTTAAGGCTCTCTCCTTCCTGACAAGCACAGTCTGCTCTGATTGGTCAGTTTGTGTGATAAAGTGATACTTTTTTATCCACCTCTATAAAAAGGAGCTGTGAGGACTCTCTGTGGCCTGCTCCGATTGGTCGGATTCATCCGGAGCTTGTTACATATGTAACCAGCAGACTTTTAACTTTGTATCCAAGCCATTGTTTAGCATTTGTTGTTCAAAATATTTTTACATTCCAATATCACTGATTCAGTCAGGTGCCATCGCTGTTATGCCTCCAGAGTATTAGCTCTGAATTTAGAAAGCTTTACTTTGGTGTAAATAGCTTCCTATTTGTTCCCTTTTTTGAAATGTACACGAATGTTTAATTAGCTCTATGAAGTTTTTGGCTGTATTAAAACATTCAAACACCATTTACCACCAAACTAACACTAAACTAACTTCTTCTTTTGTCATTTATTTGAGCGTTCCTGACTACGCACCGGTTTAACGGCTGTCACACCAGCGAGTTACGTGGTGACAGAGAAAAGTCTGGACTGGCGTGTGAGGCAGTTCAGCAGCAGTGTTTTCTTTGGGTTCGACTTTGCAAACCTTTAACATGCAAAAACCCTTGAACAGACTGAAAGTCAGAGGAACAACGAAAAAGTAAAATACAGCCACTTGAAACTAGTGTGCTAATATAAAAAGGAATAAACAAAAGTACTTTTATTTCCTAAAATCAACAAAGTCTATCAATATAAAGTGATCTAAATATAAAGCTAAATCCCGTCTCATGTTTCCAGGTTAGCTTCAGGTCAGTAGCTTATACCGATCAACTTCCCCAATGAGGGTTTCTTAGTTTGGTCCTTTAAAAACATCCTGCAGCAGTTTTACTGTCGAGTGCACTCGCAACGTTTGGACCAGAAGCCACAGCATCATTACGGCGGACTGACCTCGGCGGGTAAAACAGGAACAGGACGTCAGCTCCGCCTTTGGTTCAAGTCACCTTTAAAGTGTTTTTGTTTGAGATTGAAAGCTCGCTACTACGCCGTTCTCCATCTTCTAAAACTTCTAGGTGTTATCTTAAAAACGATGCCTTCCAAGGGCGTTTAAATGAAGCTAAAATCCTATTAAAGTCACGCTACAGTCCTAATGTTAACAAAGCAAAGGCGTGGGTGTCATCGTTCCCTTTTAACTCCCCGATGAATGGCGAATCGCCCTACTGGCCTCCTTACCCATCTCACCTTTGCTCACCTGACTAGACTCCGCCCCCTCTGTTTCCAGGGCAGCCGACGTCTTTCTCTAAGCTGTGAATCTGTGTTAGTGTGTGTTATGTGGATCTAAGGCAGAATCCAGGCAGCATCTCGAACCGTTTCCCCGCCGCGCTGACGTTTTGTCAAACCGGCCATTCGCCTTCCAAAATGTCCGACGGAGAGGAGGAAACGGCTGGCTGCTGACGGTTCCTGATAAAAAAGCTGGTGTGTGTGTGTTTGCTGGTGATGGCGGCTTTCTTCTTATTCACAGGCAAAGTAGTCTTTGAGCGGAGCGAACAGATGCCTGATGACGGGGACGCTCCAAGACCGGCCCAGGAGCTTCTGCCGGGCGCCGCGACCCATGTTGGACACGTCAGTGTAGTGGACGGGGAAACCAAAAATCCTGCAGAGGGGAGAAGACCAAGCGGCTGAAGATGGTATATTTAAAGTTTTTGTGCACAGTGAGAAAGAAGACCGAGCGAATGCCGGTGTCGTCAGCACGTTAGCTGGGATGCATCGCACTGGACCCTTTCACAGTGTAACTGCCAAAAGCAGCAGCGCGAGTGTTGTCCGCTCACCTCTCCAGCTCGGTGCACCACAGGATGTCCTCCTTCCCGTTCATCAGCACGGGGAAGTGCTGGTCTTTCCCCTGTTTGATGGAGTTGGAGCGAGTAGTGATGGTGCGCACCTTTCCAAACTACGAGACAACAGACGCGTCGTCAGTCTAGCACACAAAACCTGCACGTGAAAACGTTTCTTTTCACGGTGTACGTGACCAACCTTTGCCACTCGGCCGTGATCCAGACAGTCCTGCAGCTGTAGCTTGTCCATCCCTGAGGCGCACAGGGGCCTGAAGCACAGGAGAGATCACACTGTTCACTCCGTCTGCCCTCACAATGCCGGGCGAGTTTCTGATGAAGCATCTGCTCACCTGTTCATCCCCGGCAGGTTTCCCCAGAAGTATCGAGCGCGGTGAGCAGCAGAGACCTCGATGGCATCAATCATCACAGGGTTACACTGCAAAGCAAGGTTGACAAATAACTGAATACATCCCATAATTACTCATGAACACACAGACGGGTTTTTACACCACATGTTCTCAGAGCCGTGAAAAATGATCCAGATCAGCAGACGGACATTTTTTTTAAATCTCAAAACATTTTTAAATATGTCGAGTAAATGATGTTTGTAAGCTCGTCACAGTAGGAAGGACCGAGGCGTCGTCTTTTCATCTTTAACGGAATCTTAACGTTGTTTAGACGTCCTGCAGATTCAGTTTTCAGGCTTGTGCAGGGAGCAAAGATGTTTCTTCCCGACGCTATCATCATCTGTATATTCAAGTTACTTGTTTTCTTATGTATTTGAACTCTCAAACTTGTCCTGAATTTACACCCAAAACGTTTCCACCGCTCCTCCTGCTCGCGATCGTGGCTCAAGAGTTGGGAGCTCGCCTTGTAATCGGAAGGTTGCCGGTTCGAGCCCCGGCTTGGACAGTCTCGGTCGTTGTGTCCTTGGGCAAGACACTTCACCCGTTGCCTACTGGTGGTGGTCAGAGGGGCTGGTGGCGCCAGTGTCCGGCAGCCTCGCCTCTGTCAGCGCGCCCCAGGGTGGCTGTGGCTACAACGTAGCTGCCATCACCAGTGTGTGAATGTGTGTGTGACTGATTGTAGATTAAAGCGCTACACAAATCCAGGCCATTTACCATCTAACTGCCAGCTGAGTCTCAGGAGGTGTTGGCAGCACCAATGTTACGTCTGTAACTCACACCACAGACCAGGCATGTAAATCCACTTTTAATATCTACGGTCATAAATTAAAATAATTCAGCTCAGTTTCTGAGGATTTATATTCATCTAATTTCACGATTTTGTGGCTCCCGGATCACTCGGAGTACGTCACTGAAACAAGGACACCATATGGACCAAATACACTACAACAGATTTCAGGGCAGTGGCTGTTTGACCATCTGAGACATGTTGAATCTACGTGGTACAAAAGTCCACCTGAACAGATGTGTGACTAACAAGCAGACGAAATGAACCAATGAGATTACCCCGCCGATGGATGGAGAAAGTGCCAGCAGGCAGGGGGCCTGGGGGTACCTCTGTTACATCTAACAATGCTGTGAATACAGCCATTCCCCAACTCTCTGTCAGTGGTACTCATGGTCATTGATCAGTGGGCTTTGATCAATGACCATCAGAATTAATGATCATGTAAATGACCTCCCAGCCCATTGTTCCTTCAGTGGGCTGGTTTCAGTCATTATGCAAATGTACTGTTCATAACAGCGGTCCCCAACCCCCGGGCCTCGGACCGGTACCGGGCCGCGAGAGTTGAGGCTCAGGTGTGAAATGTCTGGTTTCCAGCGTTCTTTTGTTATCGTTTTTATCGATAACTCGGTGTTCCTGGGTCTTTTCACGTGTGTTATGAATAAATCTTCTTTTTTTCGGTACTGGTACTAGTTTTATTTTGTTGTATTTATCCACGACACCTTAAAGGCCGATCTGTGAAAATATTGTCGGGCACAAACCGGTCCGTGGTGCAAAAAAGGTTGGAGACCGGTGACTGGGGAAACCTGCAGTCAGCTGAGACTGAAGAAGTCACCTGATGATGACGTTCCCAACACTGACTGTTAGCATTGACAACCTGCTAGCTGCAAATAATCATGTGCAGTTCTTAAAGCAATACCAACTACATTTTTAAATCTTAATATATTAAGTAATCCAAAGTACAGGGAGTGCAGAATTATTAGGCAAATGAGTATTTTGT